TTTTTTTTCTGTGATTCTTTCAGATGTGAAGCTCATTGTGCAGAAAAAAGTCTGCAATGAGCTAAAAACTAGTGATTTTCATTTTGTTTCATAAAACTCGCACTATTTATGGAAAGCATTTATTTTTCTGACTAGTCATTTCAAGGTATGCATTTTTTAAACACCTCTAAAGTGTTTAGTTCTGTTGTCAGTACATAGAAGCACTACGCATGCCTGCATTGCAAACACTTCACAGCAGTCATGAGGATAGTGTTACTGTGCAGTGGGCACTGATTACTGTCAGCTAGAGGTGGGCGATATAGCCTCAAAATTATGTCACAATATTTCGTGAAAATGTGCAATAATGGTGTTTTTCATCATGTTAAAAAATACTGAACAGTGTTTTGTTGATGCTTGTAGCTTGCTGACAACAGCATATAGAAGTGTACCCAAATAAAGGGCGTTTTCAATCTCTCTTATCCAGTGAGCTGCTATCACTGATGACACACTACCTAATCCAAAGTGTGAATCTATTGAAGCAAGCTACCAGCAGCAGCAGGGCATTATAGTGCAATAGTGATGACACAGCATTATATGCAGTGACATGGCATAAGTCAAATGTAAGCCAGTGTTTTTTCTTTTCTTTTTTAGTGTTTTCTCTGGAGATTTTAAATATAAACTAAATGCTTAACACTTTAGTTTAACCAGAACTGCATCAGTTATTTCCATCTGCCATTTGCTCTTCCCGTCATATGGAGTTCAACTGGCAATGCTTGGTTAATTCATTTGTTTACATTTGGATTGCACATCACGGACTACCAGCATCTCTCCTTCCTAGACTGGTTGTTTGTTTGTTGTTTTCACCTTCAGCTGAAACAGTTTTCTTGCTTTTGTTGGAGGTTGTTGAAATAAGGGACTGTAAATGCATGGCGTTGCTATAGCAAAGGTATTGCAATATGACACTTTTATATTATGTTAAAATTTATACCAGTGTTAGCTCAGACAACTCTACTAAACAGTTTTAAAATAATCTCATACAGGATGTTCCAGCAGTGTGAGGAGCCTCGCTTCACCATCGAGCAAATTGACCTCCTCCAGAGGCTACGGAGGACGGGCATCACCCAGGCAGAGGTTCTCCATGCTCTGGACACCCTGGATCACCTGGATCGGCAGCATGGGCACAAGTTGACCCATAAACCTTCCTATATGCCACCTTCGTCTTCCAGCACTGTCGCCGCCTCTTCTTCCATGACTTCTACCGCCACTCAGACAAGTTTTCCCAACAACCGCCTCTCATTGTCCCCTAATAACAACTTTGACACCACCTCCCCACCTCTGCCTGTTCCAGTAGCCTCACCTAATACCATAACAGCAGTAGTGCCAAACGGTTTGGTTGCCGTTACCAATGGGAAGCTTTCACCACCCCGGTTTCCTCTTGGGGTGGTTAGCGCTACTGTAACCACACCAGGGTATGCGTTTGAAGCTAGTGAAGAGGACATAGACGTTGATGAAAAGGTGGAGGACTTGATGAGGTAAGAACAGCCCTTTAAATGGCAGGTAAAACGAGGGCACACCAGCTAAGAGCAGATTAGATGTTCTAGAAAGTTATTTTGGAGGTTGTTTTTCAGGGTGTGCATTCAGACAACAAGATTAGGAAACAGCTTTTTTTAATTGTTTTAATTTGTATTAAATGTTGACTACAAGAGACAGCAATGATTTTATTTCCCTTTATAGGACTCACAAAGGTGATATTTCTGGTTTATTGGAAGGGTTAGTTTGAATGAAAGACTTCAAGGCTGAGGAGAAACTGGCTAGTTTGCCAGATCTACATCTAGCAATCATAAAGCACAGCAGACAAGTGCTTTGTCAAGTGTTTTAGTCTGGTACTCCATGCCGTAAATGCCAGTAGACCAGCCTTCCCTTGATTCAATAATATAACACCTAGAAATTAATTTTTTTTATAAAATAGTTTTACCGGTATTTTTGAAATACATACATGTAATACTTGCATGTACACTCAATTGGAAAAGTCAGCATAGGAGGAACCTGCAGTATGATATTTTGATAGTCAGCCCTGGTAATGAGTGACGGAAAAGGGACTCTTGCCAACCAACTGCATTTAGTGCTACAAAGATTATAACACTATTTTCTTTAGTTTACTGCAAAAACAATAATAATTTGGAATTCAGATAGGTGCATGTTGCTTTTAAAGACACATGTACAGTAATTTGCAGCAGCAGAGGGTATGTGTTAATACAGAGGGTCCTGATTCCTGACAAGGCTGCTTGTAGCTCACTCTGAATATGAATATGATGCGATGATTGCTGCCAAACAAATACTCACACATACAAAATGAACACAAGTACACACATCCAGTCTAGTGCCTCTCATCTGTAGTCTGCAGCCAGACGGCAGCAATCAGCAGTATTGATTTGAAGATGTGTGAAAATGAAATCAAAGGAGAAGGAGAGCAAGGAATATTACAGCAGCACACATTCAGGTACAACAGCCTGTAAAGTATATTTGAACTGCAGACAGTTATATCTGGTATAAGAATAGTGATTGTTGTGTTGCCGTGTGTTAATAAATATCAGGCTTGTAATGTTGAAAATTTAAATGTGTTGTACCTTTTTCTTCTCCCTTCTTGTAGGAGGGACAGTGCTGTGATCAAGGAAGAGATTAAATCCTTCCTGGCGAACCGACGTATATCCCAGGCTGTGGTTGCTCAGGTAACAGGTGAGTATAAATTGAATCTGTTTGGTAAAACACAAGCAGAAATGTTGGTGTGTGAACAAGCACCAGACCCCCACAAGTGTGACTCTGGTCCCGCTCCTCCAGGGATCAGTCAGAGCCGGATCTCCCACTGGCTCCTACAGCAGGGATCGGACCTCAGCGAGCAGAAGAAGCGAGCGTTCTTTCGCTGGTACCAGCTGGAGAAGACCAATCCTGGTAACAACAATCCTTTCTCCAACAGCTCCACATTTCTCATAAAACTTTTCTGTAACTTTTCCACCTGTGGAAAAAATACTGTAAAATAAAACAGTAGGAGGGAGTTTTTTAATAACTAGTGTGCTGCTTTGAGTGTGTGACTCACTGTGTTGTCTTTTTTTTATTTATTTTTTTATAGCAAGAGCGAAAGATTTTTTTTTTATTTTTTAGGCTTAATCAGAATCAGAGATGTTTAGACACGAGTCAACAACTAATATTGAATATTTAAAATTACAAAAGAAGCTTACAGCCAGTAATAGATCAATAATAAATAATAAGACTTTGGATTAAAAGGTTCACAGCAAAAACAAAAAAATTGACAAATACAATTAATTGAGAGACAAAACTGGTAAAGACAGAAGACGACAAATTTAAATTGAACAATTACTAAAGCATTCACTCTAAAGGGAGCATTGTAATGAATTCCAGGTGGTCTAAGCATAGAAGAGTTCTGCCAAGCTCAGACAGCTTGTGGGACTTGCATTGATAGATAGTATCCGTGTAAATTCTTTTGTAAGAAAAGAAAACTTGTTTTTTTTTTGTTTTTTTACATTTTAGGAATCTTGAGAAGGCTACAGTTATGGAAACAAAGTGTGGAATAAACAATGGCTGCATTGTGTTAAACATGGGATCAGCATATTGGAATGTACAGAATGGAAAAACAGTGGAGTCTACTTCTAGTTAGCACGTGACCTCCCTATAGGGAAAACAAACTGTCGTGGTGCTTCTTCCAGATATTATGACTCTTATCTGCCTTATTAGCTTGTTACTCTATAAAGTACTGATTCCCAGTCGGTCTGAAAAAAAATACAACTTAAGAATTAAGAATGTAGTTGACCTGTCCCTGAAAGCAGGTTCAACAAACTCTGTCATCAACTCAGTTTCCCATTCCAGAAAGGCTGATCACAGTAAGTTCAAACAACTCTGAGCATGTCCACCGTCAGTTAAGCGTGTGCGTGAGTAGAGACAGTAAGCCATCATCAATGTGCCAATACCAGGATTCACCATGGCAACGGGTAAATACAGAGCGGAGCTTTCATTTTAATCCGGTGGAGGAATATGATTATGTTTCAGTGTGGGCCATGATGTTTATCTTTATAAATACAAGACAGGAGAAAGGAAACATTTTAATTAGTTTGGCCCACAATATACATTTTGTTTAAACGGTTTCTGGTCATCATCACCCAACTTGAATTTTCATTGGATGAAACTGGAATTTTACATTTGACTTTTATATCAAGTTTTTCTTACCTAATCTAATCAGGTGTAACCTGACAGGGATAAAATGTCTGTGACAGAAACTGGAGATGAAATTCTGGGAAAATGGACACAGGTTACTTATTTGCCTGTGCTATTAGTTACACAGTAAAGCAACAGACTCTGGCACATTTCCGCCGTCAAAAGGAAGTTTTTATTAAATGAAATTCAATTAAATGTTTTTTGAATAGTTTCTGACCAGCAGTGGGCTGAAACAAAGTTATGTTTTATGGTGGAGTTCATTATTTCTGCCATTACTGGGTAAGAAATGCCTAATAAGATTTACAAAAAGTCTTCTTTAATGTTTTTCAGTATAAGCATTTATATTTTGGGCACTCTTACAACCATAGCAGAGATCTTTGTAAGGAGTTACAATTACTAAGTGTTAAGCGATAGTAGCTGTTTCAAGTTATAACATATGTTAACATTAATGTAAACATATTAAAAGAAATGTGTAAGTTTTATAGAGCTATCTACATGCTAATCAGCTAGATTTTAGATATTTCAAACAGATCAGATGACTGGATCTAAATTGGATACAGATCCTGGAGCGGCTTGAATCCATGTTCCTCTCTGCAGCTGCATATTGAAAAAGAAATGCTTTAAAATATATTTAGTTCAGAATGTTAAAGTCCTTTCAGCCTCGTCTAAGTTAGAAATTAGTTATTCACATCATCACCACCTCTGACTGACATTTTTCTGTCAATGTGACCAACTATGACATATAAGGTAGTGATCATTAATCAGTGTATTATGTGTCTAAAGATTTATACAGAGACAAAAGTTTGATTTAGACAAGGATTGCTGTGGTAATGTACAGTAAATGCTTCCAATGGCACGAAACTGACTTCCAGAACCTACTAATTTACAGAACCTAGTAAATCTCATTGATCTTTTGTCATATTTGATGCTCCAGGTGCTACTCTGGCAATGCGAGCCACCCCCATACCACTGGAGGAGGTGATGGACTGGAATCAAGCTCCTCCTACATTTGGTTCGGCCCCCGGGGGCTTCCGTCTGCGACGAGGGAGCAGATTTACCTGGAGGAAGGAGTGTCTGGCTGTCATGGAGGGGTGAGGATGAGGAGGGGTACTGATGTAGAATTGTAGAACTGATGTAAGAAGAAGTGAAAGTAACAAAGTGCAATATGTATCTGCAGCTATTTCAATGATAACCAGTATCCCGATGAAGCCAAGAGAGAGGAGATTGCCACTGCCTGCAATGCTGTCATACAGAAACCAGGTACAGTCTTACTGGCGAAAGGTTGTGAATTGCATCCCAAATTAAGTATTAGTGATTGGAGAAACGAATTATTAGATTTGCTATTTAGTATAAATATGTTAACTACTTCTTTGGCTTAATATGTATTTATTAATTAGAAGAACTGCAGGATCCCAAACTTACCGTAATTTTTCTAACTGCATTGTAAAGCTAGTTATGTCCTAGACTGTGTGTGTGTGTGTGTGTGTTTTACAGGAAAGAAGCTGTCTGATTTGGAGAGGGTAACATCCCTGAAGGTTTACAACTGGTTTGCGAACCGCCGCAAAGATATCAAGAGGCGTGCTAATATTGGTAATGTCTACGTCTGTATTTGTGTGTGTGTGTGTGTGTGTGTGTGGGAGTGAAAGAGAGATACACGTTAGATGTTGTATACTACACTATGGTTTGATGTAAATAAATAAAGAACCCACAGGAAATCACTTGTGCTGTATCTATGTGCTTAAGAGCATTATGTGCAAGTAGCACGCACAAGAGCTTGTGTTTCACTTTAACAGAAATCCTAATTGTGTGAGGTTCTTTTTCTGTGTCACCCAGTTCACACTAGTATTGCTGGTCATCACAATAGACAGTGTTAAATTTCTCGCACACCTGAAGAGGAAACAGGATGTTGTTTTCTTTCCGAGAAGAGCAGCTTCTGAATAGTTGAATCACTGTTGTCCTTATTTTGAGTGTGTTGCTGTTTTGTAGCTGAGTCGATATGCTATGATGACGTTTGTGTTTTTGAAGAAGCAGCCATCTTGGAGAGTCATGGCATCGAGGTTCAGAGTCCAGGAGGTCAGTCCAACAGCGACGACGTGGATGGCAACGACTTCCCTGACCAGGTAAACTATATACGTGAATTCCTACATCTTAATGTCTGAACATAGAAACACAAACCCCCTAAAAAGAACAAAGCAGGAACTCTGTATTTTTAAAGTTAATTGCCTCTCTGATTTTCCCCATGAGAACTGTCCTGGTCTCCATAATTGTTTTTCAAGGGGCTCGGCATAACCTCAATAAGCCATTGTTATTAATGACACCCACAGCTGTTGCTGTTGTGATTATGTTGCTCACTTGTGCACAGCTTGTGTTTGTGCTAGATTTTTGCTTCTCAACACTTGTGTTGGACTGTTGTATGTACCATATATCTTGTGACTTCAACAACTCTGTATCACTACAATGACAACTGTCACAATGTTGACTATTTATGTAGAAAGCATGTAGCAGTTCTGCGTCTCTGCTCTGTAAATCTGTGGATGATTAGTTTGTAACGTTAGCAAATTACTTGGATCAGCCCAAAGCCTTTGGATCAAATGGTCTACCTGATCCTTTCAAGGCAGTGTTCTCCCACATGAAACCAATTGCATGTACCGGTAATCAGTGTTACAGGGACACTACATTTAGCAAGTATTTGCAGAAGAAAGAAAGTTCAGGGTCGGACATGAAAAAATAGCAAAACACAAATGTAACTCGCTCGTATTGCTCCAATATGAGGAGAAATCTCTCCGATAAGTCGACTTAGCGTGGGAATTTGTGCTTGTATGTTTAATAAAAATTAATGTTTGGCCCCAGTGTGTGAATGATCAAAATCACAGGAATATATGGTGACACCGATAACTTGCCTCTGCCTTGTATAACTTGTTTGCTGGTTTTTCACAGGGCTGTGAGGTGTCCTTATTTGATAAGAGACCTTCAGCAAGGCAGTTCAGTTTCAGTCGAGCTGACCTGTCCTCTCCAACCCAGGTACAGCTGGAGCACATCTACACCCGCCTTACATTTATCAGCGATTCCACACGGAGCTACAGATCCACTCAACCTTCTTTTTTCTTATCCCCTCACTCAGGTTCCCACACTGCTTCCGAGCTGGTTTTCTGCCCTGGGTAGAGGGGGCGTGTCTGGACAGAGGGCCGCATCTCTTATTGGTCGCTCCCTAATATCAGGCGCGGTTCCTCAGATGGAAGGTTCCAGACTAACAGGTGTTTCCTGGTCCCCTCCTTCCCCCTCTCTCCAGGACGAGCCCACAGTTCACAGTGCCCTGTCCGAGGCCCAGGATCCAGTCAGTTTGGAGAAGGCGGCGGCAGTGAGTGACAGCAGCCCGGTGGTAACCAATCAGGGGGATGGCGCAGGGTGCAGCGTGGGGAATGACATCAAGACGGAGACTCTGGAGGACGACTGAAAGGAGGGGCAGATATCACAGCTGTCAGAGCGATAAACAGGTGTCATTATATGCAAGCAGATTTTTTAGAATGTAATAATAAGTGGAAAAAAAATGACCAAAAGTCGTGTAAAGTCCAACCCTGAGATACCTCCCAACCCTACCTCCAACCACCAACCTGCTCTGCTACGCTCGTATAGGCATTATTATTGTATTATAATTATAATATTAACAATAAGCTTTTATTTGTTAGTGTTCCCCAGCAACCTGTGGAAAATTTAAAATGTACCTAAAAACAAATCCAGCAAAGAAAGTGAAATAGGACGCACCTTTAAGGGAACACATGCTGTAGCTGTCCGTTTTCTTTGTTGATTGTTTATGTTGAGGCATTTGAAATCTTCCATAGAAGGCTGATAAACAGGACTTTCATGCATTGTGCAGATTTTCTTGGAAAACTGCTTTTTTTTCACAGCAGGACAACACTGTATTTGACATGGAATTCCAAACATTTCAGGGTCTTGCACTGTGATCACAACACAACTTAACAGCCTCAAAAGATAAATGCGTTCATTTTAGTTTATATTAACTGATAGTTATAAAGTGTTGCAGCACATTTCATCACAGTTCTTTATATTTAAAATTTTATATTTAATCTTAGGGTAACAGCATATAAGTAATCTGTCTCTGGGCCCAAAATGTCTGAAAAATGTTTAAGAAAAAAAAAGAGAGAAAAATGGTATGAGCCTCCCCTGCCTGATAAGATAAACTCAATGTGTAGAAGCAGCAAAGGCCATAATGATTGAAACACCGATAATGCAATTTTATCATTACTAAATCTTTCAGAATTTATTGTTTTTACTTGTATTCAGATTTTACTTGTATTCGTGTGGTTACTTATATGCTGCAAGTTTATATTGAAAATTCAGCCGCCTAAGGTTTTCAGGCACTAATTTGGACTTAAATGTGATTTATTTCTATTTACAATAGTGAAATTACCCTTTATAAATATTTAAATACTGTGAATTTAGTAGCGTTTAAACTAATTAGGGCCTCAGTTTCCAGTGAGAATTTAAATCCTGTATGGCTTTACTTTGCTTCCAAATCAATAACAAGTTTGTTTGTTTTTTTAATTTCATTTTTTTGTTTTGTTTTTTTTGAGAGAGTTGTATGAAAACTAGAAACCTGGGCGTCCTTGTGACCGGGTGACGTTTATTCATTCGTACCCAGTTACCTGCTGGATTATATAATTAATAATCAACACATATCATTCAGCTGAGAGGAAGTCAGTAGTGTCAAAAAGCTGTTTAAATACTAAAGATTAAAATGTAAAGTGAATAAATACAGATGGGTGATAAATTAAAGGAAACTGAACCACTTAACTGAAACTGAACCTACAGTGTTAGGATCCAGTTTGGGCCGGTTTGTCCCTGTAGAGGGAAAGGTCACAATAACTCTACTTTCCTAATAAGGGCGTTCTCTTCCAGGCTGGCAGTGCATTGTATCTTTAGGCATGCAGTCTGCATATAGCTTTCAGACGTGCTTTAAGTTTTTCTAAACATGGTCTATCTTTTGATTTTCTTTTTTTTTTTTTAATGGTTATCTTTTAAGGTGAAAAAGCAAGTATGTTTGGTGTTAATGTCACTGGCTGGAGGCCATTGATTGGTAAACATTTGGTGCTTGGAAAGCAGCTGTGGCTGAGAAAGCCATTCATAAACTGATTGGAAGATTAGTGGTTCAGTTTGCACGTTGAATTGTCCTTGGGCAAGATGCTGAACCCCATATTAACACAATTGAGATGTTCAATACGGGTGCTGATAGGATAGTTAGTAATGTAAAAAACCTGATATTCCGACTATATTGGCCCATATGTTTTTTCTTTCTCTAACATTTGTTGTGTAGCTATTTATTTACTTGTTTACACTCTGGTTTTTGTGTTTGCATTGTACCAAACATAGACATTTGAAACGTGTTTGCTGTTGTAAGTGCTGATGCAATAGATCGGTAAGTGGCTAATATCATTGCCCCCGATGTATCTATCAGAGCGCGAGTGTTTGCACCATATTCTTAAAGGCCCATAGTATGCAAGCACTATATGAATACAGGTCTATTTAACGTTCACCAGTTTGGCAGTGTTGGGTTGTGCTTATTTTGTGTGAGCCGATGAACCGAAAAAAATGAGCCAAGAAAACAACTTTTGAAAACAGAAAGCAGACTCTTGTAAGCTGTGAAGTCACCAGACTGTCACCAGAATTACACTCACTTGGGCACCTATGAGAGAATGTGGGCTAGTTAGAGAGGACTCTGAAAACACCAAATGAGGGAATATGTTTTGGAGGAATGCTGTTCATCCCTGTGGTAGAGTTTTAGAAATTTGGAGAATCACTGAATTTCCAGTGCATGAAGGGCCAACACCTTGACACGACATTGGGTTTTTCCTTTAATTTGTTACCCATCTTTCTAATATGTGTGTGTGTGCGTAGACACACAGACTATACTTAAATACAGTATATCTATCCAAATCCATTTCTTTGTACACTATATAGACATATTAGCTTCAAATGAGAGAAACTATCAGTATGAGTCTTATCATGTTGGTGAAAGACGAGTGAAACATTAGCCAAAGTATTAAGTTTTAAAATTTTGTGTATTTTCTGAGTGTATGATAATCATGGATGAAACTGTGTGTTTGAGATATGCTAATCAAAGACGCATCAGATGTGTTAAAAACTATTTCAAGCAAATGCATCATTTTTATATTCTTTTTCAGGTATATCTGTGTTTGTGCTCGATATGCCATGTGTTCAAAACACACACTGTCACTTTTAAGCTGTATTTTCATTTTGAATGACACTTAATTTGTTTATGGTGCTTTGAGTCCTTGTTGAAATATTTCACTAGTCACTAAGACTGACTGACAGGCCAGAGGAGGTTATTTCTTTTGAAATCACCATAAGAAGAAATCTCCTTTAATAATTAAAAAAACCAAGTAAATATTTGAGGTAAAATTGAGGATATTTAAGGTTAGTACAGCCATTGTAGAAGTATTTTTAAAAGCTGAAGGCATGGAAGCGTCTAATAAGCCATAATTTAACTGTCTAAGTCAGATACACTCCTTGGTCTTCACATGTGGGTTCAAAACACCCAAGACAATAATGGCGAAGAAGTCCAGATGTGGGTGACGTCACAGCGATGCCGTCTTTACTAAACTGCTCGTGGTTCATATTGTTAAAGCTCCAGAACCCTAAAATAATTTCCAGATCAGTTTTGTAGTGAATACAAAATCATCCACCGGTCAAAAGTGAGTAAGGGCTCTGGGGCTTTTGGTTTAAACGCCGTCCTAGTCATGCACTCCCAAAATGTTCTGCACACTAAGCACCGTGCTCGGAGCGTTTCAACTACACTAACAGAAATGTCATAGTGATCCAAGCTTTGTACGTACGTCCTGTTCCACCAGAGTCAAGGAGGAGACATGGCTCCTCAGCTGCTTAATGTTCCGCTGATGAACATTAAGATAATTGAAAGATATACGGTCACAAGTATGTCTGAAGGATCCAGGATTTTAACTGAAGATTTTGACAAAATTTTGACTCTGGCTTTGCTGAAAATGAGCTCAAGTTTGTAGGCGAGAAAAGCAAAACAATGGGTTAAAACACGCTAAAAAAAAAGTAAGGATGACTGCAGTCTCCAGTATGAGCAACACGCACACAGACAGACACTTACTAACCTTTAAAACAAAATTTAAAAAAAAGTGAGTGCAGCTCAGTGGGGGATCACTGCTGACACTATCATTCAACACTATCAGTCCAGCTCTTACATTTGCTTACCTTTTACAGCTGACACTAAAACCTTCTCAAAGGCTAAAACATTATTATTACTACAGTGCAGTGTAACACTTGATAGAAACCTAAATGCTTATGAAGGTGCAGCACACCTCAGCTTCATGCTTAAGTGCCTCATTTTTCTCAGCGCACTAACAGAGGATCAGTGCATGAAGAAGACTTCTACAATGGCTGTACATTTTTAACCGTACTAATGCAGGCGAGTTAATAACATGATGTTCTGTTACACTAAAGCGGCTTCATTCAAACCGGTTCACCGTCACCAGGTGCTTTACAGGCTAAGCTACTAGTTCGGAGTTTAAAAACTCAACATATATACCTCGCTCCCTCCCATTCAGCTATAAGCTACTCCCCGCAGGTTTGTTCACAGCTGCTTCAATGTGAATCAAAGCTTCAAACTAACTGTCGAGCTGATTTGCGTCAGTCCCGTCTGGATCAAACTGTGACAAGGCCGTAAAGATGATTCACGCTGGCTGACAACAGAAGCGTCAGCGGCTTTTCAAAAGGGAAATTTCTCCTCAAACTAGAGCCAGTAAATATCACGTTTAAAGGGAATTTACTCATTTATGAGCTCCAACGTCCACCAGGGTCCATAAAATACGAAATAGTCTCTCTGTCATTCTGGTGGATTTCAGTGTTTCGGGCTAAATGTCTGAGAAACTTTGTTGCATGGTGGAGGATTTCTTTAATTGTGCGGCAGCAGAGCTGTCCTGGGTGTCTTTGCTTTAAGCATTTGAGACATTATTAGTCAGTTATGTAGCTTTCTGTCATTTAATGATTTACACCAAAATTTACAAACCCATCAAAGGGTTACAGATAGTTTTTTATTTAGTTTTTTTCTTTTTAATCTGCTAAGCAGAAGCCTTTCTGAAATGAATCTATGGATTCATTTAGGCCATTGTGCTATTTTGAGATTATTCTTTTTTGCCTTCATGGTCTTCTCGTGACATTGCATTTTGGAGGTCTGAAGCAGCCAGTTAGTGTGAGTTTGTGTCATTTTAGCTATTTTGTACATAAGAAAAAGGGAAAGAAACTGCAAATGAAAAATAAAGGCAAGGTCACAGTCTTAGTTTGATTACCCATCGCGGTCTATTAAAACGATTGGATAGATAAATCTGAGGTGGATCTGTGTCAATAATTTGTTAAGCACCACCAGGAGACCTTACAAAAGTGAGAGTAAACACTGATTTAAACGTTAAGAAATAAGCTAAACCTTCTTACATAAAGAACCCATATTTGCTTCTAATAACAGAAACCTCAGTCTTTTCTGGTGTTTACTGTGCTTTTGTTTGTCTGTTTTGATCTAAATGGACTCTTTTTGTGCCAGAAACTGCCTAATACAGTTAAAGTTCTCATAAAATAAAAAGCAGTAGGACAGAAACAGAAAAGCCTTTGCTCGTGCTGCGTGTTTCCATCTGCCTTCAGTCCTCTGTTGCCTTGTTGAACTGTTTTTCTTTTTTTGTTTGTTTTTTGGAACATCTACCTGTGCATATGTTTGGCACTGACTACACCTTGACTTGTCTTTACCTGTGCCATATCCCGCCGTCACTTTGGCCGGTGGTCCACATAGTACAGCAAATACTTTATTCAACAGGAAAGTTTGGATGTGCGATGCTTCCTTTAACAAAATCAGGGTGCATGTTAAGGTTGAGACTGATGCCTCTCATGTGAGGTGCTTTCATTCCTCCTTCATTGCTCAGTGTTGTGATATGCAGTTTCACGTTTAAAGAGTTAAAAAAAAAAAAAAAATCTGGTTTTTGGGTTGGTTTTTTTAAAATTAAGGTGAAAAACACATCTATCATCCATGTGGTCAACGTGAAATGGAGACGCTCCGGTGTTGATGTTCTCATGTAATCAGCCAGGAGGAAAACAAGCAGTGGTTGCCATTTCACTGTGGCAATAAGCTCTTCAATAAATCTCTGTAAAATGAAAAATATCAAACCTCAGCAGGATCTTTGTTGTATCAGTTTAAATTGATTTTTCTTTGTTTATTTGCTTCTTTTCTATTTCAGGATTTAGTGCCTTTTTTGGACAGTAGACTGTTCTGTAATCGCTATGTAGAAACTCTACATAGGCCTTTTGTTACTTTTTCATCTGTTGGATAAACCTTATGTTATATTTAAGGTGTGTTTTTATTGATATTCTATTTACAAGGGAATAAAAACTGATCAGACTCCATCAGTGTGCTGCTGTGCTTTCTTTACCTGCACATCTCACTACAGAATATTTAAGGCATTTGAGACTTTGGATGAAATCTCCGGTAACTAGTGAGCAAACTAAGATATAGATGCGTTCAAGTCATCAGGTTTGACCTGAGTGTCTGCTCTTGTCACTATACAGTCTGAAAATAAAACCAGCACAAGTAAAAGAATTTGACATCCAAATAAGGTCATCTGCTTCCTGAGGGCCAAGAGGTTGATTAGATTTCTGCCTAATTTCCAAAGTAGTCATTTGTGGTACTGGAACTGGGAAAAAAAAAAACCCCCACCGATATAAAGATCTGTAAAACAGATTTGCACAATTGCATTATGCGTACAGTGTGATCTGTGCCTGCAACCACGGGAGAAAACTGAGTATGTGCAGTGGGCTGGACAACAAGAAAGGAAACCAGAAAATAGGAAAACTTGTTTGTCCATAAGCTTTTTCCCTTTTCCCAGTTCAATGAAACTAGCGTGAAACACTCATACCATCATGATTTAAGCATTTTACTCTTGAAGTATGTGTTTTCCCACTTGAGCCCTGCCCAGTGACACGAAATATGCAAACTGCTCAGTTCTGTAGTCTTACTGCTTTAATAATAAATAAATAATTCGGAGTTCAGTTGAATTTCTGTATAGCTCCAAATCACAACAGCAATGGTCTCAAAGCATGTTGTACTTTAACCTCCTAAGACCCAAACTCTTCCACGGCATGCATTTTTAATTTCTCTTTGATATTTGGGCTGATTGGGGCCCGATGAATGTAAAAACAAAGAATTACCAGATTTTTTTTTTTTAAACTTATTTTTGTTTTTACGAAAAATCAGGGCCACATATGAGGATATTCGTTTAAAATTTTGATAGAACAGTAGCAGTATAATGTCCTCGTAAGTGGATATCAGGCCCTTGTAGAGCAAACTTGAGTAAATAACCCAAAATGTGATGTCCACATATGTGGACACCAGGTCCTAGGAGGTTAAGGTAAAAACCCTAAAATACTGAGAAACCCTAACAATCACACCCCATATGAGCAAGAGATTTGGTGACAGTGGGAAAGACAAACACTCTTTTAACAGGAAGAAACCTCCAGGCTCAGGATGGAGCAGCCATCTGCCACTACTGGTTGGATTGATCAAGGAGACGAGACAAAAGCCATGAAGAGGAAGAAAGCCAGATATTAAATGCAGAGACGTGTATTAACATGTGGTGGGTCAAAGGAATATATGTTCCACAGTATTAACAAAATAATTCCAGTTTAAGCTTCTGTATTTCCTGTTAATGTGGCTCAGTTACCAATTTGGAAAAAGCAGAAGCTCTGAAGTCTTAAGAAAATAGATATTTTCTACATGAAGAAATAAATCTGTTTTAAGCTCGATTTAGTTGTAGTTAAAGCAGTTTGAGCCACATCAATTAATACACCAAGCTGAAGGCTGAGGTATCCTTTAAATGAGTTTTGTAATGAATCTGACTGGAATTAAAGTGATTTTAAAGTACCTAATAACTTTTTGTCTTGGCCTTGAGTGGTGTAAACAATCCCGCCTTAACTTGTATATTTGAGTTTTCAGCTGTGACATTTTTAAATCAGAGGAGTGTTCGTCGGAGGACGCACGATTAATTCTGTGCTATAATCTGAGCAAATTACACAGTCTAATGAAAACTTGGCAGCAAGACTGACTCACTTCAATTCATTTGACCTTATTTGAACTTAAATGGGCTGACCAGTAAAACAA